TTGTTTAAACAAATAGAGATGCTGTGTCGAATTGTGGCACTTAACACTTTCAAGTTAGTGTTGCATGATTCAATTTGAAAAAATTATTTAGTAGCAGACAGTGTTAGTGAATGGGAGTACAGCTGGAGTTGGTACATACGTGTATGTATGCATGTATGTATGTATTATGTAGCTTGTCGTTTTTTTTAGTATTAGCATGTTAATGTTAATTATAATAATAGATTGAGGTTAAATGCATAACTATTATAACAACGGTAATATGAATAAAAGATTGAGGAAAGGCAAGTAAATATCATCATCATCATCAGCAAGTACAATATGCGAGTATGTCTCTTGCGGAGGGGTGTGTGCGAACAGATTAAGCTCTAAACTGCTTCTTTTTCTTCTTTACTCTGGTGCAGACACTGACTCAGCAGATGCTGTCGTCCATGACATGTATCGCCGCCGTACCATATAGCAGGTGGGGAACGATGAGCGGCTTGTAGAGTATGGTATTTGTTCGTCGAGAGAAGACTTTACTTTTCAATTGCTTAATCAGTCCAAAGTAGCACTTGTTCGCAAGCGTGATTCTCCGCTGAATTTCAATGCTGACATTATTATTGTTGCTGCTGCTGGTTCTAATATAGATGAAGTTATCTTATATTTCAAAGTTAATACTGCCAATAGTGAAGTGGGAGCTAAGTCGCGTTTGCGATGCCACTCTTGGCACGGTTGTTGAGGCGAATAATGTCAATATCATCGACGTACGCCTGCAGCTGTACACCCTTATAGACCTTACCGTCCCTTACCTACCCTAATCAGCGCACTTCTTGGAGAGCGGTGATGTCAGCCTTTATTTCTACAAGGACATGAACCATCTGAACACTGGCACCTTTCCTATTTAGGGATTGTGATCGTTATTAATTCGTTTGCAGTGATCGTCATCAAGAGTGGTACGTCATCTGCATTTAAATCACTGAAAAAATATTCTTTAGATTTCTCTTTAAATGGGTCTCTGCAGTCACTTTCACTGTGGTCTCCTCGTAAACGGTCACTGGGAACTTGATTGGACTGTTGACTAGATGGTCAATTTCTGTAAATCCATTAGCTTTTAAGGCAACCCAAGTGGTGTGAAAGCGTGTGTTGTCTTGAAGAAATCGCACTCTAACTGCCCTTTCACTCTTCTGGGCGACTGCCTCACGCGCCGGACTCAACAAATACGCGTGTCACTGGCCATTCTTTTTAGTTCTCTTTGGCAAGTATTCAATTAAGAATCTTCCCTCGCTAACCTAGAAAATGGTAGCCTTAATCTTCGACGCTGAGCTTTTCCCTTTGTATTATTTTTTTTTTCGCTTTCTCGTTTTTTATCCACGGCATCGACTCCTGTTTGGACTTGGGATCATACTGACGAATAAAAATTACAATGCGGTTGCAAGCTTCATCCACATCATCTTGACACAACTCCAAAAAATCTTTAAAACTTGACAACTGTTGCTGCTTGTCTAGCGGCGTGAGCATTCATGGTCCCCAACGCGCACTAATTTTTTCATATTCAAATATTCTTGCAAAATCTCTGCAGCTCGCTCTTTGCTAATCCAGAATCCTTCTGCTATCCGCCACAATTTTCTTCTTCGATCAACCAGTACCAATTTTTCGACTTTCTGCACATTTTCTTCGGTCAAGACCGCCACTGGGTGCCTCGGGTGGGATCATCTTCACTGGTCTTTCTTTCTTGTTGAAACATCCGAGACCATTTTGCACCATCCTGTATGAAATTGCAAAGTCCTGAAGAACCGATGTCATCGCTTTAAAAATTTTCTTTCCGCGTACTTCCTTTTTACAAGGAATTTAATCACAGTTCGGTACTCCAAATTGCGAGAATTTCCAGTTTTCGTTGATATAATGGTGTTGCTTGTACCAGGACGAAATGAAATTTTAATAAACAAGTAAAAAAAAAATTGTGTTAACATTACTAATAATAACCAGCGCCGTAATTAGTAGTATCGGTAACGCGAAGATGTGTCATCTCTAACTGCCTTAGGTCGCAAAGTTGTCAGTTTTTTGTTGATCCTGGTATTGGATCGTTTATAGCAGAACTGTGATTATTCGAAATTTTTGCATGCATTTGAAGGCTATAATTATTTACTTTACGTACTTATTTATTTATTTATTTTATTTAATTTTTATTTTATTTAATAATAATAACAAAGCATTAGTACAATAAGATTTCCATATCTTTTTTAGTACAACAGAGATAGTGTGAAGAATAAGTAAATATTACTTTACAGATACCTTAACAAAAATAATAATAAAAATAAAAATAATTATAATATATAATGAGTTGAGTATGACAAAAACTTAAACAATTATTAAATGGTCAGTCTATGTTTGAAATTTAGCCTTTAAAATGCATATATATGTGGTTCTTGAAATTGCTTCTGTTTAATTTCCTCCTTAAATTAGCAGGAAGAGAGTTCCATAATCGACTAGCATTGACAAAGAACAGCCTTGATGATTGCTGTGATCTATGAAAAGTTATTATTATATTACCTACTCTGGCTGACCGAGTAAACGATAACTTGGAAAAAAGATAACTAGGTGATTGAGTCATGATGAGTTTGCAAAGAAAAAAAACAATTTCTGGCTTTATGATAGTCCGCAATCGTACATCCTAATATCTGATCTTTCCAAGACGAAATGTGCTCATATTTGGAAAGACCAAACACATACCGTGTGACATTATTAAAAATAACGTCAATTTTACAAGCAGAAAAACTGTCATGTTTGCTGTATACAACTTCAGAGTACATGATGAGCGGAAGAATAATTTGTATAGCAAGTCGGCGTCTGGTAGCAGTGGGTGTATAGATAGCTGACTGCCTAAGATTCCTCAGAATGAGATAGACCTTACTAACTATGGAGTTTACATGATCCGTGCATGTAAGATTAGAGTTAATAATATATCCTAAGTTTTCAATCTTGCTGACTAATTTTAAGGGATAATTGTCTATGAATATTGGGGGCAAAAAATCCAGATTTTGTCAGTTTTCTAGTTAGACCGCTGGCAGTCGCCCAGCTAGAGATATCAGCCTTCTTCGAATGGCTTCAAACGGTTCTTTGTGCAATCTTTAGCTCTTGGGTAATTGAAACAGTGCTTCCACGACGGTCGGACACCACAATGTCCATAATTTTATCGATATTTTTGACAATTGATTTTCCACTCCATGAAGAATATTTTACATCAAAATTACCGGATTGAAAACGAAGTTGTGCTTGATTTACTCGTGCAGTATCAGAACCATAAACGTGTTCCACCTTTTCAGCCGCCTGGCTTGCGTTTTCGCTCGCATTGAAAAAAAACCGTAAAATTTAGCGCATTTTCTCTTTACTGGTGTCCATCATTGACGCTCCCTCAAACAAAAGTGTATCAACCTATCCGAATGGCCATTTAATGGGTGTTTTTTTAGCTTCTTTTTTTGGCAATACTGGTTAAAACAGCTGACGCAGTTTGGTCTATAATTTAAACATGAATCGTCTTAGAAACGAACAACGCTTGCAAATTATTCAATTTTATTATCGAAATGCGTGCTCTGTAAGGAAAGTTCATTGCGCGCAGAAGCAGAATTCTCGTTTTTGGAGTGAAGATCAGCCAGAAGTATTGCAAGAGCTACCAGTGAATCCAGGAAAACGGGCTGGTGACGTCATTGGACCGTACTTCTTCAAAGATGATGCGAATCGTAACGTAAATGTAAATGGTGAGCGCTTCCTTGAGATGATAACAAACTTTTTTTTGCCCAAAATGCAAGAGGTTGACTCGCATGACATGTGGTTTCAAAAAGACGGTGCCACATGCTACACAGCGCGCGTAACAATGGACTTATTGAGAGGCGAGTTCGGTGAACATTTTACTTCACGTTCCGGAACGGTCAATATACCACCTAGATCGTGCGATTTAACGCCTTTAGACTATTCTTTGTGGGGTTATATTAAATCCAATGTCTATACAGACAAGTCCGCTTCATTTGACCCTTTGGAGGACAACATTGATGCATTTATTCGTGAGATGCCGGCCGAAATGTTGGAAAGAGTATACCACAATTGGACTAAGCGGTTGGACCAGGGCGCAGTCACGGTCAACATTTGCATGAAATAATCTTCAAACATTAAATTATATGGAGCGTACTATCGATTCAAATAAAGATTTCATGCATTTTTCTGAATTTTAATGGGTTTTTTTTCTTTTGAGAAGCTTTCCTAAAGCTCTTAAAAAATCACACTTCATCATCCATCTATTGGGAAAATAATGGATTCTCTTTTACTACACCTAATGGTGGTGTGTGTCTTGATGTTTTTCCAACAAATGTAGAGATGGATTTGAATTAATTTGCTATAATTTTTGTTGTTGTTTGGGACGAAGGCATACCACTCTTTCCTAAAAAGAAAAACTCTATACAAAGAAAAGAACAAGTAGTTTTTGAGTCAAATCTCTTACAATTTATCATTACATCAGTTAAGCATTACTGCTACCTTACATAAATGCGTACACAAATACAAGCAGAAATCTATACATAAATATATGTAAAACGGGAGAACTATTGCAAGAAATTTTCATTGTTAGTGGTAAGTTGATGGTATCGCCTTATTTTTTTATTTACCCTTTTTTTCAAAATAAAATCATCAAAACAAACTCAATTCAACGGTAATTCAACTAACACAGGTGGGCGTTATCTGATTGTGTGTCAACATTTGGCCATACTACGAGCACAATGAAAACGTGTGTTGGTGGCAGTTTTGCTAATAAACAATCTCGTTATTTTAAATGAATTTACTGTTAAACGAGCAGTTAACGGCAATTACAATTAACCTTATTGATTTCGAATATAAATCTAATTTAATTGACAAATGTTATGTACACTATTTTTAATTAGAAATGTTTATAAATAATTTTTATTAATACTTTAATGCTTATATACGTATATATATGTACATATATACACATATATATATATATATTTAAATAAATTTCCAATGAGCTCAGTTTACATAATTTTTTTTTGCATTTTTTATTTCACTTTGACACATCCACCAAGCTTCCCGGCGCGCATCAACAGCACTTGAAGTTCAGCAGCGTTCTGAAGCGTATCTGCGCCTCCACCAATGTTGTCTTACGCGTCTCTGGCATTGTGCTGACAAAGACCACAAACAAAATTAACATCAATATGCCAACAAACAGCGCATACATATACATGGCATAGGTGTTGAAGTGGAAAGTACAAATGACAATTATGTGTATCACTTGCTGCAAAGTCAAGCAGCCAGCTATGAAGAACGGCTTCAGTTTCATTGGGAAAGCTTCGCTAAGATACACAGACGAACTGGGCGCGAAGAGGCCCGCAAAGAATTGAAATACTTGCGACAGCACACAAACAACCGACATGTGGTGCTCGCTCACCACATTCAACTCATCATCGTATTCACCGCCAATAGCGATTGACAGCACCGCCGTGCAGAGCAAAGCCACCAACGACACTAATTTCCTGCCCGTCACATCGAACATATACAGCGATGAGAATGTGCCGCCGACGCGTAAAATGACAAACACTATGGGTTGCCACTCATAATCGCCCAACACCACTAAATTGGCCACCTTCATCGCCTCATTCATGGGCAGCGAAAAGCCGAATGCCACCATGCTGCGGTAGAGCAACAAACGTAGCATGGGACTCTGTATCAGCGTATCACGCCACTCTACCGTCTCCGTCTCCACCACATAGGTCTTCTGCTCGTCCAAGAGCATTTGCAATGCTTGCGGTGACGCATATTCTGGCCGCTGCAGTTGACGCAAACAATTTAAAGCGCGCACATCGTCACATTGTCGTATAAAGTAAATGGGCGATTCGACAGTGAAGTGTGCACAACAAATCGCAAGCACACCAAAAATGATCGCTATGATGCCATGTAACCGATCGGCGGCAAAGTACACCTGTGACGTCCATTGTGATGTGTAAACGACTTGTATGACAATGCCGACCGTCATGCTATTCTGTTCCAGCCACAAGCAGAGGCCGCGATTCTCCGTTGCCGCTATTTCGCTGGCATGCACGAGGAATACCAATGTGGCGCTGCCGATTGCGAAGCCATTGATGTACCGCGCTGCCAGTATAGCGGTGTAGTTGTAGGGTACACTGGTGAAAATGATGCCACCGATAATCACCAGAAAGGCGCCAAATAACTGCAAGTTGCCAACTGATCATTGATTAGCAAATAATTGTAATATCTGAGGATGATTTCACTCTCAACTTACCATAAAGAGTCGCTTGGGCACAGTTTTTATAAGTGGTGCTGCCAATAGTGCGCCGACTATGAAGCCAATGAACCAGGAATACCGTAACTGCATTGTTGTGTGTATGTGCGTATGCAAGTTCCAACCAAGTCCAAAGGCCATGCTCATGCCGCCGGGCACAAAGATTAGTGCGCCTGAAAATTCAAAAAAAAAAAACAAATAAAAGTTAATCATAAGGGAAAATACACTCGGCACAATGGCGAAACTTTCCATTGTGATTAAGAAACTTCAGCTGAGAGGTGGCGGTCTACCATTTTTGGTGTCTATTCTTAGGTAACGAATCAAAACTCCACGTATTACATGTAAAAATATGTCTTCTGGTGCTTCCACCGGCGGGTACAGCATCGAAATTTTTTAAAGCAAGAGTATTCTTCGCTCTCTGAACCATTCGTGTGGACCGCTGTCTCTTGATTCGCGAAGTTATATCATTGTCGCTGTATATCTCGTATAGCCGTTATCAATGCGCAAAGGAACATAAATCATACGCAATGCTTTCTCTTGAAAGTTCTTCACGCGGACTCAATGGATCCATGCAGAACAGCAATTATGAGCTATTTCTAGAGTTCGGTCTTTGTTCGTCGGGAAAATAGTACCACTTGGCAATTCTGTGTTGGATTGCAAGGGTGAGTGGTGTGGCTGAGTGGCGAATGCGATCACGGTTTATTTGTTTAAAAGAAATATTTCTTTTTCGCATACGCTTCACTCATTTATCCAATCTGGATAAAGCAGAACTAAGGGCGCGGTTATTGAGACCCATAATAACAATATAATTGGCGGACGCCAGCAGCTGTAGACTCTTATAGAAGATTGTGATTGATTCTCCATTCAGCACGGCAGCTCGTATAATGTTCTCCATCAATAAATTAGAGAATTCACAAGATAAGCAATCACCTATTCTGATTTTCGTTTGATGTCAGCACCACCCGCTTTTTTCTTCTTTAAACCGGCAATCGCTATTCAAACTCCGTTCTAGGACGAGTAATGGAACGCTTTTTCTATGATCATCGATTGGTGTTTCGGGCTCGACATCTCCTGATGTTATACTTTCGATGCCATTCAACAGGCTGCGTCCTACAACAGCTTGCTCTGGCCTTGAAACGTTCCGTAAGTTGCTGTATCTTTTTGTAGAATATTCCAGCCATACCCTCATGGGCTAGCTTCTTGAGCTTCCACATACTCACGCACTTCGACCACTTTCTTTTTTTACCTCAAAATGTGTCTGACTTACTTTTTCAGCTACTGCTATATATCCCGTCCCGCAAGGGTTGGGTCGATCGCAAGGTTGCGAGGTAGTTAGTCTGTTTCTTCTCTCATACAGCTCAGCGTTCCTCATCGTACCAGCTCTTTTAATGGCACTGCTGAAAACCTATTGTTTGTTGTAGTAGCGGAGTTCGATAAGCCCTTTCACATTTCCCTTATATCGAGTTGCTGATGAGTGCTCTCAGTAAGGAGATGCGCAAGTCGAGTAGAAAACCGTTCGACTGTCTGTTGTGATTGAGCATTCTTTGATACCTCGGCACGTACGCACTTCTTTGTAAAACACTGGCTGCATGCTATCCTTCTTACACAACATGATCGATCAGTTTCTGAGTAAAAGCAAAACATATTTCGAGCTTCGGCCGAAGTCGATCAGACTCAACCGATTAGCGGATGTTTCGTTTTCGTCGTGGAGACTGAATTTTTCAACAGTTGTGCGGAAGATAACTACTTTTATCACCGTGGCGTTATAGTCGTCAAGTACAATTTTGACATCGTGGCGAGGGCAACGTACATAAATACGCTCCAGACGCTCATAAATAGCATGATCGGTTACATCGTCTTTCTCTTTCGTCGGGATATGAGCGCAAAACCAGTGAATGGCAATACTCGACGACAGAGTTTCTCTCTCACCACAAATACGACACAAAATTTGCGCTCACTTATATGGCCGCTGTAGTATATTTCACAAAGGCCCACGGTCTTACATCCTTGTACCATTGATCGTACTCTTTGCATGGCGATTATGAAATGAGACCGGACAATCCCGGTGCATGATACTTAAAAAGGGGGTCTCCCATCTGAAGATTTAATTGGCTTTTCTTGTAGTATATTTCTAATGATATTGGAACCAATCCTTACGAGCAGCCATGAAAGGATTCGCCTTCTCAATTTAGCTCACTTTCAAACAGACGTCCGTTGGCTACTCAGAGGAGACTTGGTCTGAAAGTGGAAGTCGGGAGTTGCATGAACCGTATGTAAAAGAGTCGTTTGTGGGCACAACCAGGTAAATAGCAGTCAAAACTTTCCTAAGAGTTCAATCGAACTCATTTAGTTAAAATGCATTTTGAACGAATCGAAAATTATTGTCAAAAGCAAAGAAGACGAATTTGACTATTTTTCAAAGTCTGAAACAATAATTTGACTTTATCCGAGTGAAAAAGTGTTTGGAAAGGCATTAAGCACCGGGTTCAAGAAATACATATGTTTTGAAAAACAGTAAAGCTTTTTTCCAAAACTAAATATTTGTTCTCATTTATTTAGCTCAGCACTTGTGTACCACCTTCGTATATATGTAAGTGCACATAGGTATAGTATTTCAGTAATCATAAATCACTTCCAAACAAAATCTGAGATTTTTGCTATCATCAAAATTTGATTGATATTATTTATAGTAGGCTTAGGGTGGGTAATTTTAAAATATACTGATTAGTACTTTACTATATGAACAACACAAAAGTTTTATAAATATTCAAGGTTTATAGAATAGAAGTTTGCAACCACAGATAAATTATATGTTTAATGACGAAGTTGGTGCAATTTCTGTGGGTTGCCGAAATTTTTAAAATACATTTGCATAATTTTATCTATGAAACCCCAAAACTTTGCAGGGTAATTTTTTTTTAAATTAATTTTGAATAGTTTAAATTATGCAAATTAATATTATTTTTTAACAAAAATTTCTATAGCTTGGCAACTCTAACATTTGGTGTCTTGTAATACGAATGACATAAGTAAATAAACGAGTAAAATTATCAAAATTTTCAGTGAAAAGACTTAATTTTTTATAAAATTTTATATGGAAAATTTTGAAAAAGTGTACAGTGGGCTATTGTGCATGAAATTTTGAAAATAAAAATTTTGGGAGTGATTTATATTAACGTTTAACTGCCCAATTTTATAAATTTAATGATAATATTTTTCGAGCTGAAAACTTGAACTCTGTGGTTAGTTAGCAATATAAAATACCTGAAAGAATGAAGTATTGCTCAATAATATTTACCTATCAATGCCACCACTGTACCTTTCTTTGGTGGTTTTCAGCCACCTGTGTACTGGTTTGTTTGCTAATTTTTTAGTCAAAAAATAAAAACGCCAAATCTGTGTGTAAGAGCAAAAAACAAAAACTGTATGATTTGTTGTTTTTTATGTAACGGGTGATTTTTTTTAGCTATTATCTTTTTGGCAACACTGGCTTAAACATCTGAAGCATGTTTGGTGCCAATGATTGGAACGTACTTCTTCAAAAATGATGTGAATCCGAAATGGAAGAGCTTGACTTGCATGACATGTGGTTTCAACAAGACGGTGCCACATGCCACACAGCGCGCGTAACAATTGACTTATTGAGAGGCGTGATCGGTGAACATTTTATTTCACGTTCGGGACCGGTCAATTGACCGCCTAGATCGTGCAATTTAACGCCTTTAGACTGTTTTTTGGTGAGGCTATGCTGAATCCAATGTCTATACAGACAAGCCCGCTTCAATTGACGCATTGGAGAATAACATTGAAGCATTTATTGAATGTTGGAAAGAGTATGCCAAAATTGGACTTAGCGGATGAACTATTTGTGTCGCAGTTACGGTCAACATTTGCATAAAATAATCTTCAAACATTAAATTATGTGGACCGTACTATCGATTCAAACAAGGATTTCATGCATTTTTGTGAATTAAATGTATTTTCTTGAAAAACTTTCCGATAGCTCTTAAAAAATCACCCTTTATAAGAAAGTTTTCCCCATATTTATAAACAAAAACCTTTTTTAAGAAAATTTTGTTTCCTTTTATTATTGTTTATATGACCTAGTTGGTTCGGTGACGTCAGCGGCTGTCGTAACCTTGTATTCCATAAACTTTGATAAATTCTCATATGTAATTTTTGTAACAACGCGGCTCTACAGGCCATTTTATGACTCAACTGTTTTCGAAATTAATTTTTTTTATTGGCATTTGATGAAATTTTCATGTTGATATTGAGTTTTTATAAAACTTCATATAAGTAATAGTAATTTCCTTTACACACAAATATTTTTCAATATTTCAACACAATCCATTTTTTTCACCTGACAACAAAGCCATCCACTGCTTCACCGTTGGATGGTATACAATTCTGTTTCTCCGTTGTGGAAACGGATCGATATATTCCTGTGCGGGTGGTGTGTCATTTCTGCAAATCATTTCCAACTCCGTATCTTTGGCCATTAATTGAGAAATATTTTTGTTTTTATTTTTTTTTTAAGAAAATACTATTCAAACTACCGACTTTATACGCGTTCCACAAGGTTTGAGCGTTACAAATGAACTAAATGTTGTCATTGGACATTCGTTTTCCTTTTTTGACCACATAAACATACATACAAATGGTATTACATATTATCAAAGCGTTCGATAAAGTGGGATAAATGTGGCTTTGCGTTGAAATGACAAATAACGGTAACGAAAGTAAGTACGAATACATAGAACAATTGTCTTATCGATTTTTGGAAAGGTAAACAAACTGAATGCCAAGCCGAATTGCCGAAAAGCGTGTGGTAGATATGTGTACTTGTGCATTTAAAACAGTATGAAAACTGAAGTAATCCATAGGCGAAGAATTGTAAGCAAACGAGTATAGTATAAATAGCCAGAACCCGCCATAAACATGCAATAAAAACAATGAAACAAACCGATCTCTAAAACCCCCCGAGTAGCGTGTTTCAAGTGGTATTGATAGATTTTGAAATGAATTTTGGCAAAAGGATTTCGGACTCGCAATCAACAACTCCAAAAACCCTGACTCAATGAGTCTCAAGTATTGTAATTCCAAAGCTTCTTCTTTGAGGAAATAAAGCTATTTTTTTCTTAATAGACCAAAAAATATTAAATGGCGAATATGTTAAAATTGGTAGCTGACCTTGAAGAACGGCTAATGCCATTAAATTCAGCGCACTCGAATTAGATATGAGCCGACCTGGTAGGCGCACCGTTTGTCAAAATTTTCGACTATCATAGTGTAATCATAGTGGTAAGAGATGATAATCAGACATAAGGTTCAGGCTTTAAATCTTGCTGTAATTCTACTTGTACTTTACTAGTATAATTGTGGTATGTGCCTGAATAGTTGATATCGAGAGCAGTTTCTTTTTTGGCGTCATATTGCATGCCAAGAATGTATCGTTATCTTAGCCATAGCCTCAGATGAATACAAAAAAAAAATTCTCAGACTCTATTTTATTTCATACTCTTCATATCAGAGCCAGTATAATTTTCAAGAATTAAATTTATAAAGAAATACAAATCTCTTGTCGCAGTGTTCCTTACCAAACTCCTCCAAAACGACTGGGCTGATTTTTATGAAATTTCGTGTGCATATGGAAGCAGGTCTGATAATCGGCTGACGTCTATTTTTCATACCGTAAAGTGGACTAAATTATTTGAAAAAATTATTTTAAAATCAATTTACGATTAGATTTACTTGTATTTAGGATAATAGGTAGCATTTTGCTGAGAGTACCACTACATTGTACCAGAGACCAACCTATTCGAACTTGGAATTTCTTTATTTTTCAGTAAGTAAACCGATCTATTCTAAAAAAAAGCATTATTTATGGTTCGACTTGGTAAAAATTTAGGATGACATACCTAAGTAAATGAAGTTGTCCAGACACCAAGTTCGATCTGCTCGAAACACGAGAAAGGGATTACCGGCAGATTGACGAAAATTGGTAAGACTTGGATATAAACATAGATCAGGCTTAGGCATTGCGTTGGGCATTTTAATTATTCTGAGACTGTGGGTAACAAGCTTCAATATTATCATAAGTTTAACTTGAGTGTAAATGAGCATCGATCCGAATGGTGTGTTTAGCTTACTTCGAGACATTCACACTGGCAGTGGCGCGAAACAAATTTTAAGTAAGTAAGTAAGAAAAAACTGAATTTTTTTATAACAGATGGTCCTTAATTCGGCCTTAATCTCATTTTCTGCATTAACAATTAGAATAAAAATTGAATAAAATGTAGAAAATCACAACAATGTGGAGCCGGGTCTGCCAAGTTTATAGAAATTGATAACCAAAAAAATTGAAGCTTAAAAAATCTAATATTTTCCAGTTTCGTTTGGTCCCGAAAACGTCAAACTTTACTAGCACAGATTTTGAATTTTTTTAGGTGAAAATAATACCGGAACATAGCCATGGGCACCATATTTTTTCAGAAGTCGGCTTCGCAACTCTGCCGGTATTTAATGGGTTTCGCATATTTTCCGTATGATATTGGTCAACGGTTTTCGACAGAGCTTTCTTCCTACCCTTGGCAAACTCATAATGCTCTAACTCACAGTAGTAGTAGTTGCGTGTGAGATCCTTCCAGAAACAGTTCTATGAGGTACTGCTCTAGCGCTTTTCCCCATTCGGTTTTGTTTGAATTTTTGATAAGCTTGTCGTTTTTTACTTTTTCAAATTTAGTTAGTTTCCTCTTTGAGCCAATTTATTTATATTTACAATGCTACAATGTACCACGCGGTCAACCAGGATTTGAGAAATCAACCTAATAACATTGGCCTAGAAAAAAGTACTCTTTTAAGGGTACTCCATTAAGGGTAACACAGGATTGCTAGAAAAAAATGTTGAAAGGCATTGTGGGCGTTTCTTAACATTATGCCCGCTTCTCCTTTAAGTAGATTTAGATTTTAAGATGCTGAAAAGTCTTTGAATTATTTCAAATTCCATTAAAGCCTCAGCAGAAGGGTGACATTTAATTAGCCTTAATCTAAGAACCTTGGGTTACAACTAACAACTCATCAGCAGCTTCTCTTGTGCAGAACTGCAACCGCGAAGTTGGGAGGATATCAACTCTGGAACTCTACGGTTAACTCGATCTGACAGGTATTGGTTTGGGAGAAAGTAGAATCATTAAGGGTATAAGTTTCCCCAAACTCTATGCAACTTGATGCAGGGCACTCTTCGAAGTGTATCTAACTGATTAGACCAATTTTTTGACTCTCTTCCAACTGTAAACAGGATAGAACTTGCTCTCCTTATATATATAATTGGCGCTTCGTAACCGCTGAAGCGGTTTTTCGGGCGAGCTGCTCCTCCATTTTGAGGTTTTGCGTCTTGATGCTTTTCCAACAAATAGAGGGACCTACAGTTTATACTAAGCCGCTTCCGAACGGCTGATGGTTTTCTTACTAGGAGCCCCTATTTCATGTCCGAAATACTCTCGGAGGCGTGGACATTTCCTGCCGAGGGGCGACCGCGATTAGAAAATTTAACTTAACTTTTTATTTAAATTCATTTTCTATAACTTTTGGATGTTGGTGGCGCCGAGATATGAACCCGAGCCTTCCGAATGTCAGTACGCAATGCTAACCACTCGGCTACCTCGGCCCCCTTTTTACCAAGAGGTAAAAAAGACCTTCAATTTCTGACTGGTGTTGATCAAGTATGAAGCCAAGGTAAAATTTCTGGTTTTCGCTCTCTGAACATATAAAAAAAGCTGCTGACAAGACACTATAAGGGGCTGGTTTGACTAGAAATCTTTGTCATTGGAGCGATAAACCTGTTATGAGACGAAAACTTTAATGGTCTGGCTCAAAAATTCTGCTGGACTGTCGACGATCTCTATATAAGAATATCACACAGAATAGACTACCTCTCACCCGTTTTTCAGGCCATATGATTTTTGGAAGGAAGATTTTAGCCAGACGAACTTGCCAGGCAAGGTACGACCTGGTGGATTCTTCCCGATAAAAAGTATTGATATGCCTTTTTCTAAAAGTAAAAGTATTTACTTCGAAAAATCAAGGAGTTGAGTATTAGAAGGAAACGGTTCGTTATTTTCAGAGCATCGAAGCAAACTTGAGCGAAATAGTATCGAAAAAGGTCACGCAAAATGTCTGTTAAGAAAAGGCATCCTTAAGCTGAGAGGAGTCTCAACAAGTCACTGTTTGAAAGCACGATATGTAGCAAGGCTAGGAGCTCTTTTACAGATCAGGGTTTCAAGTTAAGAATTAAGGCTCATCTTGTGGGTGCATTGCCTTGAATGAGCTAGATAACTAGAAATTACCTTCCTTCGATGAGTTGTCTAAGATAGTTGATATCAAGGTAAACTTAGAAGCAACATTTATTGGTGATAAAAAATATTTTATACAAATAAAGTATGATATGCAGTTGAACAAAGCATAGTGGGATGTGTGCCTAGGCAATGAACAAATTTAGATTTGATTCACCAAAAGTGGAAATAATTCATGCAAGCTTGAAAAATCTGCGTTCAATCGAATCAATCAAAACAGAATCTCGCAATCGGTAATAATTACTCTACAAACATTAATTGGGTAACCTTTCACCATGCGCAACCGAATAATTTGAAAAACTTAATAGATATATAAAGTTACTTAAAAAAAGTAGCCGCCTTGAAAGCTTTTGTAACCGCTCATGCTGTGTGTTTAAAAAGCTTTTGTTTTACAGAAAAACTCATAATCAAATTGCGGTTGCAACCTTAGATGAACTTTTTTTTTATTTTATTTTTTTTAAATTAAATTTTTTTTTTCTTCTTTTTTTAACTTCCACCTCTTCCAGCGTTTCATATATTGCTGATTAATCAACTAGTTGAGTATTAGATGAGTGTGTGAAAGCATTCTAAATTGTAAATGGAAGTATGTAAATGGCGTTCACTTTACTTTGATGACCGTAAAATTCATTAGCTCATTTGGGTTATAACTGAGCAGCGAGCAGCAAGCTGACGCATTTGCACTCAATTCATTTAGTTTTGCTTGTCAAATAGAAGTCTTAATTGTTCTGGTTCCTAATTGCATGCGAAAAGTGATTAATGAGTTAGCAGATAACAACAAAATTAAGGAATAATACAACGCTTAAGAAAAAACAACAACAAATTGGGAAACTTCTTCGTAATGTTGTACAATATGATCTTCAACGCTGCCTTCTGGTTTTTATGCTAATGATTTATTTAAAATGCGCCGATATTGTTGTTGTGACCTTTCTCCACCAAAGTGCATTATCATTGTGTGTCCAAGGTGTGAAAATAAAAATTCAAACTCAATTCATTGTGAATTTCCATTGAACTGCAATGCTTTTTAGCTCATGACATATAAGTCAAATAATTATGAGCGCTAGTTAGTTAAGGTAATTGATTTTGTACGGTTAGTGGTTAATTAAAAATAATGATTTAAATATATTTTCAAAGTTTAAATAGTACTGCGGTATACTGAGAGTTTCTTATATACAAGTTTATTTAGTTTTAATTTTATTACACTTAATTTTTGGCACGTTTTAGTTAAATTTTATTCTATATTTTAATTATTTTATTTTTT